CACAAATTTCATGTCACACCAGCTCTCACTAGTCAGCAATTTTGATGAATTTACACAGCTAGATTAAAACTCGCAACGTTGTTCCTCATTTTTTTGACTTTCTGCCGCTCGTATGTGAGGCCGTAGATAATTGATAATTTTTTTTTCCTGATAAGCGAGAGAAGATGATAGTTACATCTATCTATAATCTATCTATCTATCTATCTATCTATCTATCTATCTATCTATCTATCTATAATCTATCTATATCTATAACTCTCTTAAAAGGAAGAGTTGTTTCTTGAAACTTTTGAATTGCCAAGAATACCCTCATAAGAAGATAAGTTTTAAGGTTATTAATGTAATTTTTTTATTAATGTTAGGAAGTTACAACTTTTATTTATTATCTTTTATTTCTTATGCTTAATTATATCTTTAAGTTCTTACACATACAAAATATTACCTAAGCAAAATCATATATTTTAAATAATTATTTATTCTTAATTATATTATTATGAATTAATCTATATATGACGTTAGGTTTCGATTTGGTTATTTTAAAGGTAGTTTTAAAATGTAAGAGAATTTTTTTCTTTAAGATTTTTTAAATAAAATATATGATATTTCATAAGTATAAAATATATAATGCACCATTAAAAGTATCATCTTTAATTTCCAAATATCATATTGTTTACCATACATTTTTTTGTTATAGTATTAAAAAAAATTAAAGAGGAACAATTTAGTGAACTTGCATATGTTTAAGAATGATTGAATCAAAAGTAATTATTCAACACACAAAATGTCAACTTTCTATGGAAAAAAGTTATTTGTTAAGTAAAAAATATATGCTAACATAAGTATTTGTTTAAATTATTCAGTAAAACAATATGAATATGATTTAAGTTTACCTGTAATAATATGTATAGTATAAATGTTCTTTTATAGTAATGTGTTACATAAATTAAAATAGCATTTACTGAATTATAAATAAAAATAGATTAATTACAGAAATAAAATAAAATAACTAAAATTCTATTTTAAATCTTGAATTTCATAATATGTATATTTATTAGAAAATAGTTACAATTAAAATTGATGAAATAAAAATAAATAGTAAATTTACTTTAAATTTGTTGTCTTTAGCATATGTTATTTATAAAATCATTCATAAATTAAATGTTTCAAATCACTTCTCAAAAGTAGGGAAAATAAACTACATAAAATATTGACAAAGATATAAAAATAATGTTAAGAAAAAAAAAAAAAGAAAGAAAGAATCCTCATTTTATAATTCATTAAAACTAGACTTATGAAATTTCACATTTATGATATTCTTGAAAATTCGTGAACGAAAATAATGCATGTATGACAGTTTTAAGAGATACAACAATAATTTATGTTTGGACAAGATATATAGATAAATGGGTATCTTTAATCAATAAGATGTTATTATTCCTAAGTTTTTTCATGTAATTTTTTTAGAACGAATTATTCAAACATAATGTTTTAGCTTCCAATCGACAATAAATAAAAATCACTACAAATTATAGTTATAACAAATTCGAGTTATTTTACAAAGAGTATGATGCAAAAGGATGACATTTGGAAAACTATATTTGATGACAATATTAATGATCATTATTTTAAGCAAAAGTAGGGAAAATAAACTATATAAAATGTTGATGAAGATATAAAAATAATGTTAAGATACAAATAAAATATGAAAGAATCATCATTTTATAATTCATTTAAACTGGAATGAGTAGATTTTCACATTTAGGATAGTCTTGAAAATTCAGGAATGATGATAATGGATGTATGACAATGTTAGGAGATGCAACAATAATTTACGTCGAAAAAGATATATAGATAGATGGGTATCTTTTATCAATAAAGATGTTATTAATCCTAATTTTTTCTCAAGTAAATTTTCTCATTAAAATAATTACGACTTTAAAGACATTTTCAAATATTTATGTATCTCTTATGTCATTATGACTAGGGAATAATTATATATATCTAAGAATTATGAAATATTATACTTGTAAATATAATTAAACTTGCAACCACTGTAATCAAAATAATTAAGAACGAATTTTTCAGACATAGTTTGTTAGCTTCCAATTGAAATTAAATAAAAAATAATATTATAAATTATAGTTATAACAATTTTGAGTTATTTTTGAAAGAGTATGATGCAAAAAGATGACATTAGAAAACTATATTATGATGACAATAATAGTGATCATTATTTTAAGCACATTGAAGATATCATAAAATAACAAAATAAAAAAGGCTATAAATTTCTTTAGCATTTACGTTTTCACTTAGAAAATATTAACTTTATTTTGGTTTTCAACCCAATGTTTTTTTATTTAATTTTATTTATCATAGAGTATAGCAAATAGTATTAAATACTACATTTCATTATTCAATAAAATACACCATTTTTTGTTAAATTAATTGAAAGAAAATTATATTATACTATTAAATATAAACCTAATACTAAAAATAATTTGAAAAAAAATACTAATTGAAGGAAAATTATATTATACAATTAAATATAAACCTTATACTAAAAATAATTTGAAAAAAATACTAATCGAAAGAAAATTATATTATACTATTAAATATAAACC